TGAGGCAGGGTGGAATGGGTCAATGGGGAGAAAAAGGGACATCTGTAATATTTTGAGCAACAATAAATAAATAAATAAATAAATAAATAAATAAATAAATAAAATATATGTAAGAAAAAAAAGACCATTTCACATATATTTATACTTATGTACCAATTTAACATCTGTTTCCTCCTTATCTATGGCCACTTGAAATCTGTGATAAACTGTGCACAGATATTTAATATAGAAATGCACTAAATCTATTTTTTCTTCATGCCAATCTCCATTATTATCACAACCTGGGGAGGTTTTAATTTCCCAATAATTTCATTATCATATGATTTATTCATTTAAGGTAGTTGAAACTTACCAACAATGCTAGTATCACACCATATTACAATATGGTTATAATACAGTTTGGTTTGGTTACAAAATAAATCAAGAAGTATCACAGGTTGCTTACTAAACCTTCCCAGAAGAATTTTTCTTTACCCACATATCAGATATTATTTTGTACAAATGTTACCACCAGTGGCAATGTTTCCATCATTTCTAGGTTCCATGGTAGCTGAAGACAACATCAATCATATGCCTCAACTCATATTATGATATATTTATAAGTTCACATTGACTGTTGTGCAGCAATGCCGTCTCCACCTGGGGAATACACCCGTATCATTCAGCTTTATTCCTATTCCTAAATGCTAGTTCTATTTTGGTCCACCCTTTGGTCAAGATCAGTCAGAGATCAGCAATGTAATTTACAATTTCACCCAGAAAATTTCCGTAAATTTGGGCATCTGAATGTGTCTCAAAGATGCTCTAAGCTTCCATAGCTAAAAATAGAAAGCCATTACCCCAGGGCTACTTGTACCTCCATTTGCAGTAAAATAGTTAATAGACCCTGTTGGGTCAGAGTATATGCTCTTTCCCAGCCTTTTATATATATATATATATATATATATCTTTATTGATTTCAGAGGGAGGAAGGGAGAGGGAGAGAGAGAGATAGAAACATCAATGATGAGAGAGTCTTCACTGATCGTCTGCCTCCTGCACACCCCCAACCAGGGATCAAGCCCGCAACCTGGGCATGTGCCCTGACCAGGAATCAAACTGCGATCTCCTACCCTAGGTTGATGCTCAACTGCTGAGCCACATCTGGCCGGGCTCTTCCCCAGTCTTGAGAGCTAGCATTCTCTAGCATTATGCATTGGGTCTGTATGATTGATTATATTATCAAGCTTTATCATCTGGATGGATTTTCATTCTATATTATCAAGCTTTTCCAAATGGATTCTCATTCTTTATCCTCCTCTTGGAAGATGATTTCTTCTAATCTGTTGTTATTTTAGAAAATAATTTATTTTCTTCTGAGAGTCACTCTTCATTAAAAGTTAATTCAGCTTGTTCCATTATACCTAGGCCAGCTTCTGTTTCACATAGAGCCCATTTTTGTTTCACTGGCCAATGTAAAATCGAATACATGCCTTGTTGCCATTGAGCATTAATTGCTTGAATATGGTTAGGATACATACACTGTACCTCTAAATGCTGTGTGTCCCATACCAGAGTCAATAAGTGGTTACTCCAAAATTCAGTTTAATCTGAGAATGCCATAAGGTTTTCCATAATCTTCCTTGTATGAGGTTTGGGTTGTTCCCAGTTGAAACACCATATAATGCCTAGTACGATATTTTCATTCACAACCCACTGATACTTTACATCTTGTTTAAAATCTTTCCATCCACTAAAAAAGGGATGATATGTGTTCTTACACATCATACTATGACATGTCAGGCATGCGGTCACTGTGTGCTGCCCATTATATTTGGGTATTTTGGTCATCAAAATTTATGGTTATACTGTACATTTATCAGTTTACCTGACATTAAACACTTTGCATCATAATGGTTCACTGGGAAGAAATTCCTGAATATTTAAATGAATTCCTAATATTCTAATGAAGGTAAGTTTCTGTAACTCAGTTTCATTACCATTTCTACCCATAAAATAGGGATAATACTGTTAAACATTTCGTGATAGTTATAGCCATCATATGTATCAAGCTGTCTATCTTTTTTTTTATCCTCACCTGAGGATATGTTTATTGATTTTAGACAGAGAGGAAGGGGGGAGGGACGGAGGGGGAAGAGAGAGAGAGGGAGAGAGAGAGAGAAAAAGAGAGACAGAGATGTGAGAGAGAAAAACATCGATGAGAAGCAACTCATTACATGCCCTGGCTGGAGATTGAACCGGAAACCCAGGTATGTGCCCTGACCCGGAATTGAACTTGCAACCTTTTTGGTATATGGAATGATGTTCCAATGAACTGAGCCACCCTGCCAGGGCAAGCTCTCTACCTTTAAAAAATAAATAGGAAGTCAGGAAAATTAAATAACATGCAAATCACATTCTAGCACTCTCAAGAATTTATGAGCAAAAGGGATTATTAGTCACATATTTAATCCTTTAGTCACCAAGAGATAAATAGATATAGCCCACTACATAGTGAATGCAAAAGCCTTCTCTAAAAGGTGACTTTTAATGCTGTTTTTTATCATTTGTATAGAAGTTAATGCTCATAAAATATACTATAAACTAGGAAAATTACTTAAATGAACAATGAGACCAGAGTTAAATATCCAATGAAACTTGTGTAGCACCAGACAGTTCTTTATAAACTGTATTGCTTGCTGGCATGGTTTAATATCATTTTAACAAAGTTTTTATAACACTCAGAATACAGAAATATAGACTCCACCACAAACTTAAGGAAACCAAATACTCTTGTCTTTGAACTATAACCTTTGGGTAGTTACTCATACATGACACATATTTCTTTCCAACCTCAGAGATAAAAACAGCAAAATATACAAATGTCAAATATTAACAGAGTGTGAAACGATTGAATGGTCTGGCACAGGAATCTGAAACATCCTTTTGACTACAGCTAGTAACAAGCAGAACCTGCCATCAATATTATAGCTGCTTTTTTGAGGAGAAAGACAGAAGTTAATTTTAAACACCGAGATAATCATCACTCATTACCACATACTGGTGTCTAATCATTATGAAGGTTTTATAATAAGGTTTCAATTCTCATCTGATCTGAAATTCAATGAACTTGCTTGCCATAAGAAACCCTCACTGCTCTCCCACTCCCAAATAAATTGGGTTCATCTTTGCTTACTGGAGAAAAAATGCATGAAGTGGGCAGAATTTCACTGCTTTTGGAGGAATATCTCAGTTCACATAAAAATGTATTCTTGCTCCTACTATATGATCAGCCGAAAGTATTAAATCCTCACTGAGCATTCTGGAGACATAGTATACCACTCTATTACTATGGTGAAAATGCTTGAGAGAGGGAGGAGGTAAGAAATGATGGTGGCTTGGACCAGGGCGGAAGCAGTGGCATTGGTAAGAAGTAATCAGATTCTGGATATATAATGAAGGTAGAACCAACAGTATTTACTTATGGAGGTTATATGGGAAGTGAGAAAAAAAGAGGAAAAAGAACAACTCCAAGGTTTCTGGCCCAGTTCTTTTGAAAATGGAAGCAATAAAAGCATGTTTGTGCATCCACAGTAAAAGAAGCCAAGGCAGAGGATACAGGATATAGACACAGATACAGATAGATGGGTAGGTGTGCTAGGAGCATGCGGAAGTACTCTTTTGATTACTAAATTTTCTCAGTGGAATAAGATAAAAAATACAAGTGGAGAGTAAAGCTGGAGAAGGTGTTGGAAGTTTAAGGAGAATGGAACATGTATGATTAGTCACCTAGTAAAGCAGGAGAGGAAATGGCTAAGAAAACATAATATGATTGTTGGGAAGTATTAAGGGATCACTCTGAGTTTATGGTCAGTCTGGATATATGTCAATGTTTTCCTATTAGTTCAGCTATGTAAAGTACAGGTATAGCATAGGTGGGAAATAGGATTTAACCAGGGTTGGATTTTGACAGCAAGTATAACAAAGAGAGAGAAGGGCCAAGGGAACTGAAGACATATGCATGGGAGTGAACATGGAAGCTAAGCTGGGTAAGGAGAGAAGTGAGGATATCAGGGGAGTGACAGACAGTTTAAAGGTGGTGGGATCAATGCCACAGAACTATCAGTATTTCCATGTTCAATGATGCTTTAGTATTTTCCCTCTATTATTTATATTCTTTTAAAATACATATATATCTTTATTGATGTCAGAGAGAGGAAGGGAGAGAGGGAGAGAGGCAGAAACATCTATGATGAGAGAGTCACTGATGGGCTGCCTCCCGCATGCTCCCCACTGGGGATCAAGCCCACAACCTGGGCATGTGCCCCAACCAGGAATTGAAATTCGATCTCCTGGATCATAGGTTGATGCTCAACTGCTGAGCCACGCCCAGCTGGGCCATTATTTATATTCTTTGTACTTGTTAATATATCAGTTGTTAAAATATCATGGAAATTATGAATATGTGCCTCTGTCTGCAGCCTAGCACTATATTATATATTATGCACAACTAGATCTTTAAATTTGCTTTCTCATAGCATTCAGCCTAGTTTCTTTTCACATCCCTGGCCCTACATGCTTGAGCACATGCATACATGTAAAATAAGAATGGCTACCTTTGCGTGGTGACTATGGGGTTTGTTATATGGGGTTTTCATGAAGACTTTTTCCCTCTTTCTAATTTCTAAATTTTCTATACTGAGTATAAAATGCTTTTATAATTTAGAAAAAATATTTAAAAGAATATATATATTTATACCCATATATAATTAAAACCCTGGCTGTGCTCCATAATGAGGTGTTAGAAGATTTAATCAGGCAGGATTAAGGCCATAGATAATTTACAGAAAATAAAAGATTTGAGAGGATGAAAGCTGACATACTTTTTAAAACTACAAGGTTTCATAAAACATATGCATGGGTCATTATCTAGCAAGTGAAATGTATTAAAATGCATGACACTGAAACTGCAATTAAGACAGTAAAATATTTTTAAATTGGGAGAAAGGACCATTACTAACCTGCTTTCTGTTTTGAGCTCTTGCATTCCGCAATCTTCGAGCAGAATAAAAGATAAAATAGCCCACAGTTGCTGCCGTAATAATAAAAAAGGACACAGAAACAAGGAAAATTGAATAGTGATTCACCCAAGGACCATGCTTTTTCCCTACTTCGATGACCATTGTTACTTGTATGCCTTTTTGAATTGATTGTAGAATTTTTGTGCCTTTCAGATTGCCAATCATGATGGCAACAATGTCTCCTGCACCTGTAAAAGGAAAGGAATTTAGTTTTAGTTTGGTAAAGCATTTTTGGTATAAAAATCCAAGTGCTAAACTGATTTTAAATTATTACCAGTGAGACAAAGGAAGGATGCTCATTCATTCAATTAACATTTTGGGGCATCTACTATGCATATAAAAGTTATAGGGGATATAAACATGCCAAAGACTTGGTTACTGATCTTAAGGAACTCAGTTTAGTGAGGAAGCTGTGATATATAACAGATACCTTCCCTCTCCTCAGGTTAACATCTTATAATTCAAAAGTATTTAGTCTGTGGCCCAGTTAGTTCTTTTTTTTTTTTTTTCCCCCATTATGAAAGTCAGTTCGCTCTTAAATGAAGGCTTTCTAGAAAACTAAGAGTCCTCTGTATGGTACAAAATAGGGCATATATCCTAGGGAACCTGAGATTGGGGAAAGAGAAATACTTATGCATTTTCCAATTTATAAGGTGATAGACTATCTTATGAGTTCATTACTAAAAAGTATAAGAATATATATATCCAGATTAGTAATTTGAGGCAAATAATGCTTACAAGTACAAATGTACAACACATTGACAGAAATGTATATTACTATTCAACACCAACTAAAATCAAGCCTGAAATTAAACTAAATTTATTACTTAGTATAATAGTCTAAGTCTTAGTCTTGTTGACCCTGAGAATGAAGGTACCTACTAAGAAGGACTCCTGGTGGCTGTCTGGGCTCAAATTTATACACAGAGCTTACCAACCATTGCTCAACAGGGGCCTCTCACTCAAAATGTGCTTCAGGCAGAAGCCTGAACTAAATAAACTCCCTGTGACCTGTTCTGAACTGCCTTCCTGCACTGTGTTCCTGACATCTGAGCCAACCCTTATAAAGGAGTTCCTGGAATCATATTTCAACCAATAGGACTGAGACTTTCCTCATCTAATTGAAGATGCACTGCTATATCCCTATCAGCATCTTCACCAACCAATCATAGTGGCTCCATTCCAATCAATAGGGACAGTGCTTTTTGGACCAATCAAACTGTGAGGATTTGGAGTCCTCATTTGCATGAAAACAGACCAATCAGGGACCCCGGTGGGGACTTCTCTCTATATAAGTAAGTTCCCCTCTGGCTCTTGGAGCTACTTTACCTTTCTACTGAAGACTGAATTTCCCTAGCTGGAGTTGTATAACCCAACCTGTTTTGCTGGAGAATAATGGAGTTACCCTGTCTTGGTGGGTCCAACCCAACCAAAGAAGAGCTGTCTAGCCAGGCTGGAGCGAAGCTATTTCACTGGAGAAAGAACAGCTGCAACACCCGGGCTGCCTCATGCCCTGGGCTATCTCACAGCCATGCTGTTCCACAGTTGAGCTGTAATAGTATTGCGCTGTCTCACAGCTGTGCTGTTCTCAAGTCAAGCTGTATCACGATTGTGCTGTTCCACACCCATGCAGTTCCATAACTGTGATTTATTTCAATTGAGCTGTTTTCACTGAATAAAGTCTCCCCCTTCACCACACCCCAAATTGAGGATTCCTGTTGGTATTGAATTGGTGCCAGTGACCATCAGTGTAAAGCCCTAATCTTTGTAACACCTCCCTCTCTACCACACCCCCTACTAATCTTTGTCCTCTCTACCCCCCAACTATATAAATCTTGTGAAAAATGTAAGGGACAAACATTATCTTTCCCAATGTTATGAGGATGTCAAATTACTCATGCAATTTCCATGCTTATCAAGGTTGATATCCCTTCTAGTTTATATGACCTGAGACAGATAATCTGAAGCAAAAGAATAGAGTTCTTTGAATGTTAAGAGATAGCCATCCAGAGAAACTCCCACTGATATTAGGTTAAGGTACTATCTTAGTTAATGATCAAACTCAAATCAGGAAAAACAAAGCCACACACGCAAGCACACCCACACACACCCACCCACACACACACAATTGGAAAAGGCCCTTCGGACTAGAATTTAATTACAAAAGTACAATATGAAAACAGAATTCACAAAAGATGTTGGTGGACTGAGTGGGAGCTACACTGACACCCTTCTGGAACCAAATTGGAATTACAACTAAAATATAGAAAAAACAATACTGAATAATCAACTGCAACTGAAGAAGAGCTGGAGAGCACCTTCATAACCAAGGAGGAAAATTGGAGACCGCATAGAGACTGGTAGGAGGTATGGAGGCACAAGAGGGCTGGCCAGGCTCCCACAAGCAGCAGCTGAAGGTCTTGAGGGAGACCTCAGCTGTGGGGGTTTCCCACTGAGGACTCTGGGGCCTAAACCCCAGGCTTGGCTTCCCAGCCAAGAGCACCAGAGCTGGGAAAGGTGCCCACATAACATCTGGCTGTGAAAAGCATCAGGGTTTCTGTCTGCCAGAGAGAAATGGCTGGAAATGCAGGCACCCTCGTAAAGAGCCAATGCACAAAGTTTCGCGTGCAGCCGCTCACCTTGGGCTCTAGCAGAGGAAAGGCAGAGTGGACTGGAGCTGTGTGAGGAGAATCTAGGGTTGTGGGCTCTTGAAATAGAGCTCAGAGGGCACCCCTATGGATTCCTGTGCTGAGTCATTCCCCCAACCTGCAGAGGACATCTTTCATAGGCACACATTTATCTTCCAAGAAGCTTTTGCCTGAGGTGGAAGCAATTGCCCCACCCTGCTGGAAAACCTCTCCTCCTACCACATGGAATTTCTACAGCCTGAGGCTCATTAAGAGGCTGATAACAATCAGCCACCCCACCCTGTGGAGTTTCTACAGCCTGAGGCTCATTAAGAAAATCAGATTAATCAGCCTGCAGAGGTGGAACTCAGAGTGCTTTCAGTCTTTGCCTGATCTGCTTCTGGACCTGGGCCTTGGAAAAACAGACTGGGGTGTGCATCTTGGTTCTGTCCAAACACATTCAGCTCCAACAGAGGGCATCTCAAGCCATGGCTGGCTAATAGCTCCAAACAGGGTACTCAAAGCCAGTCAAAAGCAGCATCTCACATTGGCCTGCACCAGAGACCTTCCAAAAAGACTAAGAGTCCTATCAGGCCTACCTAATACATAGAAATAAACCCAAACAGGCAGCCAAAATGGGGAGACAAAAAACAAGCTACAAATGTAAGAACAAGAGAAGTGTACAGAAAAATAGCTAAATGAAATGGAGATAAGCAATCTATCAGTTACAGAGTTCAGAATACTGATTGTAAGGATGCTCAACAGCATGAAAAAAGATATGGAAACTATGAAAAATGACCAGTCAGAAATGAAGAATGACATAGCAGAAATAAAGAATACATTGAAAGGAATAAACAGCAGATTAAAGGAAGCTGAGGACTGGATCAGCGAATTAGAAGACAGGGTAGAAAAAAATCACTCAATCAGAGATCCAAAAGACAAAACAGTTAAAAAAAAGTCTAAGGGAGCTGTGGGACAGCATGAAATGTAACAATATTTGCGTCATAGTACTAAGAAGAGGTCAAAAGTAAGCAAGGTTTAGAGAACCTGTTTGAAGAAATAATGGCAGAAAACTTCCCTAACCTGGGGAAGGAAAAAGACACAAGTTCAGGAAGCACAGAGAGTCCCAAGCAAGAATAGTACAAAGAGGCCCACACCCAGAGGCATTGTAATTAAACTGCCAAAAATTCAAGACAGAGAATATTAAAGGCAGCAAAAGAAAAGCAACCTGTTACTTACAAAGGAGCTCCAGCTGACTTCTCATCAGAAACTCTACAGGCCAGAAGAGAACGGCATGAAGTATTCAAGGTAATGCAAAACAAGGATCTCAAACCAAGGCAATTCTATCCAGCAAGGCTATCATTCAAAATAGATGGTGAAATAAAGAGCTTCCCAGACAAAAAAAGGCTAAAGGGGTTTATCATCACCAAACCAGCATTGCAGGAAATGTTAAAGGGACTGCTGTAATAATCAGAAGAAACAGAGAGAGAAACATAGGCATAAAGAATTAAAATGGCACTAAATAATGACCTATGAATAATAACCTTAAGGACTTTAAGGGAGAGATCAACAGCAATACAGTCATAGTCGGGGACTTTAACACCCCACTGACTTCACTGGATAGATCTTCCAGACATAAAGTCAACATAGAAACAGTGACTCTAAATGGCACACCAGATCAGATGGATTTAATTGATATTAAAGAACATTTCACCCCAAAGCTGCAGAATATACATTCCTCTCAAGTGCACATGGGTCATTCTTAAAGATAGACCACATGTTAGGACACNGAAATAAAGAGCTTCCCAGACAAAAAAAGGCTAAAGGGGTTTATCATCACCAAACCAGCATTGCAGGAAATGTTAAAGGGACTGCTGTAATAATCAGAAGAAACAGAGAGAGAAACATAGGCATAAAGAATTAAAATGGCACTAAATAATGACCTATGAATAATAACCTTAAGGACTTTAAGGGAGAGATCAACAGCAATACAGTCATAGTCGGGG